TATATATTTATTTGTTCCCTCTCAAAAACTTTGTATGTTCAGATTTTATGTTTTTTTGTTGAAACTAATAATTATTTCGGTTTCAAATTTTGCCGCCGAAAAACTCGCATTTGAATGTGTTAATGTTTCAACCTGATCTTGTGTTTATAAAACAATATGGAGGAAAAATGTCAAAGTGGTTTAGGAATTATTAAAGTTAAATTCGAAGATAAATTTAGTAAAAAGGTCAGTGTTAGCGTTTAATCATATTAAACAATAAACTAATTAATAAATATTGTAACACATATATTATTATACACTCAGACTTCTCAATTTTTAAGAACACATCACCAGTTTGTTTATTATAACCTATAAACTTCAAACATGTATGAAGAAACAATTTTAAACAAAACAATTAAAACCGAACCGATCGATGATTATCTTCAAGTGAAACAGGAATTTGATGATTGTGAAAATACATCAGATTTGTATATGGATGATGATATATGTCGGCAGCAATTTTTAAAATCTGAGGTTACAATTGACGGGAAATAAAACAAGAGACGATTGATGACCAATATGATGTGACTAGTACAAACAAAACTGTATTAGATGAAAGTTCTTATATATGTGGTGAAGAGATCAGTGAATCAAGTAATCTAGTGGATAGTACGAACAAATCAATTGAAGAAGTTTCAGGAAAAAGTGAAACAACCAATAAATTGAAACCGTATACATGTGAATCATGCAATAAAACATTCAGAACAAAACATAACTTAAAACAACATGAAAGGATCCATACTGGGGAACGCCCTTATGAGTGCAAAATATGTAATAAAAGATTTTTACAGTCAGGTCATTTAAGTTCGCATTTATCAGTGCATACTGAAGAATGCGCGTATATCTGTGAAACATGCAACAAAAAGTTCAATAAAAAGTCAAACTTAAATCAGCATAAATTGGTTCACACCGGAGAACGGCCTTATGAGTGCAAAATATGCTATAGAAGATTTTCACAGTCAAGTAGTTTAAGGCAGCATTCATTGATCCATACTGGTGAACGTCCTCATGAGTGCGCAATATGCAAAAAAACATTTTTAGGGTCAAGTGATTTAAGAAGACATATGTTAGTGCATACTGCAGAACGCACTTACAAACCGTATAAATGTGAATCATGCAATAAAGCATTCACATCAAAGAAAAGCTTACAACAACATGAAATGATTCACACTGGGAAACGCCCTCATGAGTGCGCAATATGCAATAAAAGATTTTTATGGTCAGGTAATTTAAGAAAACATTTATCAGTTCATACTGAAGAATGCCCGTATATTTGTGAAATATGCAATAGAAAATTCAAAACAAAAGAAAACTTAAATAGACATAAAGTGATCCACACTGGAGAACAGCCTTATGAGTGCAAAATATGCAAAAAAAGATTCTTACGATCAATTAGTTTAAGACAGCATTTATCAGTGCATACTGAAGAACGACCTTACGAATGCGAAATATGTAATAAAACATTCAGATTGAAAACAGGTTTAAATGAACATAAATTGATCCATTCTAGGGAACACGTTTTTGAGTGTAAAATATGCAATAAAAGATTTGCACTGATAAATAACTTAAGAAAGCATTTATCAGAGCATACTGTAGAAAGTTCTTATGAATGTGATTCAATAAAAGATTCAAAACAAAACATATATTAATGTGAAATGAAAGAGGACATACTTGAGAACAAACTGTAATTAAACAATGTTTAAAACTGCCCGTCTTTATGATCCTTATCAATTACTCGACTTATATTGATATAGCATTTTATTTAATATATATTTCAACCACAACTTTGCTACTCCTAACCTTTGTATTGTATGTAATTGTTTAATAATATCAATACATATTACAAATGCTATTTATTTTTGTTTCATTCAAAGCCCTACTATTTTTCTCAAATTCTACAGTATTTATTATTATTAACTTCCCAAAGAAGTTTATGGTTTTCACCAGAAAATGCAAATCATTATTTTATGTTTACTCAATGTACAATGGATGACCTGAATATACATATATAAATTTATTTAGTAATTGAATTGTATTAACTCATATTTATATAGCTCATACATATTTTATATGGTTTCCTAATAAAGATATTCTATTATATAAAAAATAAATCGGGTTTTTCCTTCCTGACGATATAACTCCAGAACGCACAAACCGATTTCGACGATTTTGCATTCGTTGGAAATGTCTCGGACTCTATCAGGTTTTTAGCAAAGAAAATTGACGAAAGATTTCAACAGAAAAGCGGAAAACACTTTTTCTTTTTTCACATACAGCGTCATTTTTGATACTTAGCATGTACTACAAACTAATTGACTGCTACTCATTGTTCTCTGCTCAGTTAATTTCATGTGACAAACCGGCATTGTGTTCACTGTGAAATTGTGCAAAAAACTAAAAAAATAAGTTATTCGTTTCCTAACATTTCAATTGGAAACCATTAAATCAATCACGTGTATTATGCAATTTTTTTTTCAATTTCAACCACAGGCAATTTTTTTCATCTTTTAATCACCAAACGAAATGTTACATAAAATGCCACCATCTGGTGGTGAAACGGGGTTCGCCCGGTTTGCTAGTATATATATATTTATTTGTTCCCCCTCAAAAACTTTTGTATGTTCAGATTTTATGTTTTTTGGTGAAACTAATAATAATTTCGAATTTCAAATTTTGCCGCCGAAAAACTCGCAGCTGTATTGTTGTTAACTTCAATTTGATCTGTTGCTTATAAAACAAAATGGAGGAGAAATGTCAAAGTGGTTTATGGAATTATTAAAGTTAAATTCGAAGATAAATTTAGTAAAAAGGTCAGTGTTAGTGTTAAATCATATTACAAAATAGTGAAAATCGTAACATATATATTTTTATACACTTAGACTTCTTAATTTTAAGAACTCATCACCAGTTAGCCTATTGTAACCAAACTAACCTCAAACATGTCTGAAGAAACAAATTCAAACACAACAATTAAAATTGAACCGATAGATGATTACAATGATTATCCTCAAGTGAAACAGGAATTTGATGATTGCGAAAATACATCAAATTTGCGTACGGATATATGTCTGCAGCAATTTCTAAATCTGAGGTTACAATTGACGAAGAAATAAAACAGAGACGATTGATGACCAAGATGATGTGACTAGTATAAACAAAATAGTTTCAGATGAAAATTCTTACATATGTGACGAAGAGATCAGTAATTCAAGTAGTTTAGTGGATAGCACGAACAAATCATTTGAAGAAGTTTCTGGAAAAGGTGAAAGTACTGATAACTTGAAACCCTATAAATGTGAATTATGCAATAAAACATTCTCAGCAAAACGAAGCTTAATCCGGCATGAAACGAATCATAATGGAGAACGGCCTCATGAGTGCAACATATGCAGTAAAAGATTTTCACGGTCAAGTAGTTTAAGACAGCATTCATTGATTCATACTGGTGAACGCCCTCATATTTGCGAAATATGTAATGAAAAATTCAGATTGAAAAAAAACTTAAATGAACATAAAGTGGTTCATACTGGAGTACGCCCTCATGAGTGCGTGATATGCGAAAAAACATTTTTAGGGTCAAGGGATTTAAGAAGACATATGTTAGTGCATACTGGAGAACGCGCTTATGATTGTGAAATATGCAATAAAAAATTCAAAACAAAACCACACTTAGTTAAACATAAAGTGGTCCACACTGGAGAACGACCTTATGAGTGCGATATATGCAATCAAACATTTACACAGGCAAGTAGTTTAAGCACACATTTATCAGTGCATACTGGTGAACGTCCTTACGCATGTGAAATATGTAATAAAACGTTCAGAATGAAAAACATGTTAAAAAGACATAAAGCGACCCATTCTGGAGAACGCTCTTATGAGTGCAACTTATGTAATAAAACATTTTTAAGGTTAAGTGATTTAAAAGTACATTTATTAGTTCATACTGGAGAACGGCCTCATGAGTGTGAAATATGCAATAAAAGATTTGCACTGAAAAGTCATTTAAGAAAGCATTTATCAGTGCATAGTGCAGAAAGACCTTATAAATGTGAGACATGCAATAAAACATTCAAAACGAAAGATATATTAAGGCTACATGAAAAAAAACATACTAGGAAACAAACTGTAAAAAAACAGACAACAAATTAGTTGAATAAGTCTAGAAACTGTCCCACCTTATCTATTACATAACTTATATTGATACAGGATATTAATTGCACTTTATTTAATATATATTTCAGTTACAACTCTGTTTGTTACTCATAACCAGTGAATTGTATGTAATTGTTTATTAATATCAATACATAGTACAAATGCTGTTTATTTTTGTTTTATTCAAAGCCTTACTATTTTTGAAAAATTGTACGATATTTATTATTAACTTTCCAAAAAAGTTTATGATTTATATATTTTATATGGCTTCTTAACAAGAGATATATAAGCTGTTAGTAAAAGGATTATATTTAAAATAGATTTTATATAACTTATTGATTAATGGGCTAACTGGTTTAGTAATGAATGGTTTATATATATATATATATATATATATATATATATATTTGAATAGTCTTGAATTTGATGTTGATATATATATGTTTAATTTGAATTTAATATTCGGGCGTACATCAATAAAAATAGTATGAGAGTTTTTAGCCATGGATTAATAATGGTTTCATATGCTATATTAGGATACAAAATTTAATTGATTACCACTGAATGATGGCTAAGATGCTAGCCGAAACGTATGGATTTTAAATAAATAAACTTTTAAAAAAAACTTTCATACTATTTTTATTGATGTTACCTACGAATATTAAACTCAAATTAAACAATATATATATAGATATATATATATATATAAATAAATTAATATAATATAATATATATATATATATATATATATATATATATATTAACAATGTTAATAATCAAGCATAGTATCAATAAAAAACAAAATTTCTTTTTGAAATTATTTTTTACCATTTTCATTGTTTTACTAATACTACAAAATATATGTTAGAGATATTTAGCACATGGAGATCGAAATTCGCCGTTTTATGATTAAAACTAAATTTTATGTGTGCATAAGCTGTTAAAAAGAAAACATTTCATCTATCGCAATGAACTTAAATGAATTTTTATTTTTATCTATAAAAAAATTATGCAATATTTAAAATAGGTAATACTTCCCGAAGGAGAAATTTATGTTTTCATAAAAAAATTCGATTCGCTAATTTTATGTTTTTCTCCTGGACGTTTCAAGCCATTCTGAACCGAATGAGACCAAATTTAGGGAAAAATTAAGTGTGTGAGAATTTTTAACATTTCATCAACGTTATTTTAAAAACGCCTGAACACATTTCAGAAATTTAAAAGCCATTTGATGTATCTCAATAAGGACTATCGTTGGTCAGTTTTGCGCGACGATCGGCCGAGCCGTTTCTTTGTAATTTGGAAAAACGTGTTAAACTTTTCGTCCACATTTAACCTCAAACTACCGAATCGATTTTAAAAAATCAAAAACTGTTCGAAAGATATTAGTTAGGAATAATATTGATTAGTTTTAGGTGAAAATCTAACGAGCCGTTTTCTTGTAATTAACTGTTGAAAAAAAAAATTAAGCCGATTTTTATGGAACTTGTTTTGGCGATATATATCATGGTCTTATAGAACTTACTGAAATATTACGGCTCTACGACAAGTAGTTTAATTTTTAAAATTCATCAGAGTTTGAAAAATTGAATAGTTTTTTTGACGTTTGTTAAAATTACAATTAGATGATTTAGTTGATATAACGATAATGTACTTAGTCTTAATGAACATACTGAACCATTAAATCAACAAAAGAGTGTGAAATATTCTGTTCGTTGCCACTTGCACCTAGTTGTTTTTATTATGACTAATGCGAATCGCATATCGCACCACTCGAATTAATTTTTAATGTATGATAATTCGATTTGAAACAATGTCGACATCGGACACAAATATTTATTAGTCTGTACAAAGGTCAATTTGCACTTGAGATTATTTTACATTTGTTTATTTTGCAATTAATTCTAATGGCGATTTTGTTATCGTTAAATGGGAAATAATAATTATGGCTATCGGTTATACACATATCTGTTTTGTAATGTTTAATAATATTATATATTATATATATATAGTAGTATACATATATGTATACTAGCTGACCCGTTAAACGTTACTTTACTATGTGACGTACTTTTGAAGATTTCTTAGAATCGACTCGATTGTAAGTGTGTAGGGTTGCGGTGGATCAGTGGTTTGAACACTGGGAGAGTGTAAAAGAAATAGAGCACGAAAGTTTTGTATTTTAAATATGATTATTATATCAATGAAATTAGATAGACCAGACATAATAAGTTTTAGTCTAAATTTTAGTTTGTGCCATGATGTCCTCTATTCACTGGCGTCAATGATCTGTTCCATTTTCGCCATTTCAGTGTGCAAAATATACATTTCGCAAGCAAGTTTTAAATAGTTTCTCATGTGTAAAGTCTTCCCTGTATCACGACGAATATCCCAAGACTAGAATTAGCAAAATCGGTTCAGCCGTTCTCGAATTTTGTTAAACTTGAATATGAATGTTTAGGTGTACAACTTTGCCTCCGCCGTTTTTACAATATGAATTCTTTGCAATATCGGCGGCAGCAAAGTTGTGTCGACTTTTGGATTTATATAGTCATTGGAAACTCCAATTAAAAGGGACTCTACTGACGAGCAAAGTAAAAAAAGTCCAAAGACTAAAACAAGTGAAATGATTCTCTACTAATGAGCAAATTAAAAAATTAACTATAGTTTAATTAGCTATAGCTGTAAGTGGAATTCTGTCTTAAGGCAATTAAGGCATCGTGCCTAAGGCAAATTGCTGGAACTTCTCATACCGCAATTCAAAATTTGAGTAATTAAAAATAATCAATCATAATAATCAATGAAAGTTGATCAATGATTTGGAACTTTTAATAGAATTTCGAACCGTATTAAATTATTCTGTCTTAAATCATTTATTTTGAAATATTTTGGAAATTCTGAACTTTTTTTCAAAGCAATCGTACTGCTTTAACTGTATAAAGACGAAATATCGAAGCGCGTAAGCGCCGCGTCGCCGTCTAGCGCGTAAACATTGGTACGGAACCCATAGGAATGTAAACAAAATTTATACTTATTGTTAAAATCTCTATAAATATCTGATAATTTGATGTGCATATGTCTAATGATCATTTTTGACCGCCAGTTGGCATTTTTTTAAACTTTTTTCATTAGATCTCCGAAACCGCTAGACCTGCCTTCATGAAAATTTGATCAATTCTTCATCTTGTCAATACAAGTAAAATATTTTCTGAATTGTTCAAATCGGACGCTCCATTCTCTTAAAAACTGAGTTACCGTTTTTGGCACTTTTTGCCCCATATCTTCGGAACGGCTAGACCTGCCTTCACCAAAAACTAATCAGCACGTCTCCCTATCAATACGAATCGAATATTCTTTGAATTATTCAAATCGGTTGATCGGTGTTCCCGAAATCGTCGACGAAAATTTGTATCCGCACATACATACATACGCGCACACACACATACACATACATCCATTTTTTCCAAGGTATGCCAAAATGTTCAAAAAACTTTAAAACGTAAAGATATATACAAATTTTCATTTTCGATTCTTTTGCGATTACTATAACTTGCCTTACGGGAAGTTAATTATTGTTAACAAAGACTTTTTTACCATTTCATTGTTTTTTACAAAATCATCCATTCATATCGTTTTATTTCAATGACTTTTACATATCACGTACATATTATTTTCAAAAACGATATATTTTTGTACATATGAATATTTTATTCAAAAATCATCATAAATAATTTATGTTTCCAACTACTTTTAAACTATCATAGGAAATAATTTCATCTTTTCTCTCGCTCGCGCTCGCGCAAATGCCATAGCGCTATCTCGCTCGCTCCTTGGAACTGAAACAGGTTTTCTAAAATGAACGAAGGTCGTCAATGGTAAATCAATAGGAAGGAATTGTATAATATTTAATTTATAACAAGTAGATTATAAATATTATTTTTGTTAAACGGGTAAATAACTAGTGGTGTATGGCATTGTGCCTTAAGGCAAATTGCTGGTACTTCCCGTACCGTGATGAAATTTTAAACGTTTTCAAATATATTATTACAAATGCTGCAACTTTCACTATTTTTGCTATCTTGTTATATCTGAGTAAATCAAATGTAAATCATAAATCAATAATTTATTATCTCCAGAACATTAACATTCGTCATTTCATTTCGAATTCAATTTCAAAAAAAAAATAGTTGTAATTTTGCTCAAAATTAGAAAAGTGCTCCCATATAGTCACAGTCTAAACGCATTTGCAAATAATTCTGTGCGACATTTTCACTTATACTGTGCTTAGCTTGGCGGCATTTTCACATTTTTCAATAGTTTTTTTTCACAAAATTGCAAAAGTGCTCCAGTACGTAAACAGTCTAAACGCACTTGGGTAAACATTTGTACCAGAGTGGCGCTTAGACTGTGCTTAGCCTGGGTCATTTTTTTGAATTTTTAATCCAAAATTACAAAAATATTTTTTGAAAAAAAAATTAGAAACAAAATTTGTGTTCCCGAAAACAATTGTTGAAACAAGCAGAAAGTTCTTTGAATCATTTAAATCGGACGCTTAGTTCTCTCAAAAACTGCAATTTTTTGCACATCTAGCTCTGTATCTTCGAAATGGCGGAACCTGTCTTTGCCAAAAACTAATCATCTCTTCTCCCAATCATTACGAACTGAATGTTTTTTTGATCATACAAATCCGATACTCCGTTCTCTCAAAAACTCGATTTGTATTTTCTGCACTCTTTGCTCCGTATCTCCGTAACGGCTGGACCTGCCTTTGCTAAGAACTAATCAGCACATCTCCCTGTGAATAGGAATCGAATGCTTTTTGAACCATTCAAATCAGTTGATCCGTGCGCCCGAAAACGTGGACGAAAAAATGCAGACATACAAAACACAGACACATTTCCATTTAGTTTCTGAGGTATGCCAGTAAAATGTTCAGAAACCTTCAAAACGTCGAGGAATGCAAAAATTTTCATTTTCAATTTACGGCCCATTACTAT